ACAACTAGAACTATTTCAAGCTAAAAGTTTATTTTTCATGTTTTTGTTCTCAAAATAGTCCTTAGCTCCTACTGTTAATATCTGACAATCTGTTGAATAGTAAACTTTGTCAGGTTTGCTTTTGAAGTTAATAATGGTAAATCCAAATTCATTCAAGATGTCATTGCTGTTGAGCTTCTCATTTATGTATCTCAACGATAATTTTTTTGGGGGGGTCTGGTCGTGGGGCCTGAACTCTGGGCCTGGGTGTTGTCCCTCAGCTCTTCAGCTCAAGGCTAGCACTCTACCACTTGAGCCACAGCGCCACTTCCAGCTTTTTTCTTTTTGCTTATGTGGTACTGAGGAATCGAACCCAGGGCCTCATGCATGCAAGGTAAGCGCTCTGCCACTGACTAAGCCACCTTCCCAGCCCCACAAAGATAATTTGTTTCACTTTTTTTTTCCTATATACTAGGTTTAGCTTTTAAAGTTTCTTTATTTCCCTTGTAACATAGGAAATACTAACTAGATCTCTTAATTAATGTTTCCTTATTAAATAGAATTTCACTTTGTTGCTATAACTCTGCTGTGTCAATTTCAAGTCATCTCTTACAGATCATAAAATTAGAAATGCATAATTTAAACTTAAACGTTCCCTAGTTAAGAAGAGGTCTAAGAAATAAAAGCATATAATGTCAAACTTTGTGGAGAATTGTAGCTACCTGGGAAGTAGTTGTTTTTATTACATGGGCATTTAATTATTTTCAAGGAAAGGGGAACTTTTTTTTTATAATCCTTGTCAATTGTTGAGTTCTTTGTATGCTTCCAAAGAGTATTTGCAAATTAATTTTCACTAAGGATCTCAAACTACTATTTATAAAGTAAGCATCTCAGGAATCTTCCTTTTTTTCCCCCTTCTCTAAGGAGGTCAGCTGAAAATATTGCTTTCTTTGACTCTCGCTATCTGGGTTTATTTTCCTAAGGAAAGCATCAATAAAGGAAAAAATGACACATGTTCAAAATGCACAGAGTTCTGTGCTATAACTGCAGATGCTTGCTTCATTTTTCCCAGAAGCCTGTTCAGCTTCTGCTAAAGACATGTCACTTTTCAACAAATCTCAGATGTTTAGTTTATACTTAAATAGGTTTGCTTTTACCTTGCTGTTCGGGCACCATTTGAATTTAGGGAGGCAGAATTTCACGAAATTAAGGTCAGGAAACCCCTCCGCAGTTCACATTGTAATATAAACATAATTGATAATATAGAACTGAGTGACAGCTTTTCAGCCTCAACTGAACTGAATGCATGTACCAGAATTTAAAATTTTTGTCTATGATTTTTAATTGCCCTCCTCCCCCTTTTTTTAACTATGCTTAAGCAGAATTGCATGTAATAAATATATGAATAAGACGAGATTACTGTTGTCACCTTTTTAAAACTTCAAGGACTTCTCTTACATACAATAAATCCAAATCTCTGGAGGTAAAGAAGTGAAGCTCTGTTTGCCTTTTTGTTACAGTGAATGCTTTCTTTGATGTAGTTATGTCAGTTTACTTACCAGGTATTTATTGAGTGTTCACCTAGTGCCAATAGTATGCTAAGTAGAAAGGAAGGCCAAAGTCTTAGAGTCTCGCATGTTGTTTGTTTTCTAGAGATGGATGAGAAACACTAATGTTAGTAATATAGGGACACGGTAATTTCAACTCTTAAGGCATATTAAAGTATTAGAAATAAGCTAGGCTTTTCTTGGTTTCTCTGTTTTCTTCTTCTTTTTTAAAATCACTATCTTTTTTCAGACAGGCTAGACAGCCTGTATTCAAACATGAGTTCACTAAGTAGATATGTGACCAGTGGCAAGTTACTTATACTTTTTATTTCTCACTTTGTATGAGAATAAGAGATATATTAGTAGAAAATAAGTGAGGCTGTTTTTGTGACGATTATGTTAAACTTTTAAGTACATAAGACAGTGCCACTATTTAGAGTCAATAAAACTAATTCATCTTTTTAATTTAATTTTTATTGTTATTATAAAGGTGATATTTGCCGAGCGCTGGTGGCTCACGCCTGTAATCCTAGCTACTCAGGAGGCTGAGATCTGAGGATTGTGGTTCAAAGCCAGCCCAGGCAGGAGAGACCGTGAGACTCCTTTCTCCAATAAACCACCAGAAAACCGGAAGTGGCGCTGTAGCTCAAGTGGTAGAGCGCTCACCTTGAGCTGAAGAGCTGAGGGACAGCGCCCAGGCCCAGAGTTTAAGCCCCATGACCGACCAAAAAAAAAAAAAAGTGATATTTAAAGGGGTTACAGTTACATCAGGTAAAAAGTACATTTCTTTTTGAACATTATAACCTCTTCCCTTGCTCTCTCCCAGCTTTCCTCTCCTCTTCCTACCCACAAATTGTATAGTTCATTTACACATAGTATCTAGTAAATACCAGTGAAAAAATAACACTTTAAGAATTTTTCCCATTAAAATTTTTCCCCAAGTAAAAGTATGTAAATATGAAATATGCCCACATAGAATCAGACATATGCTTGAATTCAGTTACCCAGTACAAAACACTTTTTTTGTGTGTGAGAATACCATACAGAGGAGTTACAATTACATGGGCAAGATAACGAGTACATTTCTTATCAAGCATTGTGCCTCCTCTTTGTTTTGTTTCCCCTTACCATCCCTCCTATCCTACCCCCACCCCCCCACCAAAGTTGTAAAGTTTGTTTTTCAACATAACGACTTGTACATCTCATTGTTGCAATGGGTCCTCCTGTATCCCTAGTTAAACGGTTTGTTTTTCCCATCCCCTCCACAAATTGTACCAACATCAAATACAGTGAAAGCATGGGCTATACCGTGGAGGAGGGACATACAAAGCAACATAGAAATCATCTTATAAATATATTAGAAACAATTGCATGAAAGGAAAAAAAAACATTTGAATACACTTATCTTGGAGTTCATTCTCCTAACAAAACACTTTTTGTCTCCATGGTGTTAAACTGAGAAAAAAAATAACTTAAGATGATCTTAATTTTATTCTACTTTCTGCCTTATGAAGTATTTCAAGTATACATTATTATCTTAGCCAATTAGTTCATAATGAAGCTTGATTTATTTTCTGACAACTTTACGTAATCTCAAATATTGATATAAAAATGAGCAAATTCTGCCAATACAATTAATTGTATATCTAGAGATTTCTCTATTTTCCCTTTTCTTTTTTTTTTCATTTTATTTCATTTTATTTTTTTTTGTGAACATACTGTACAGAGGGGTTACAATTACATGGGCAGGATAATGCGTGCATTTCTTTCTTTTTTTTTTTTTTTTTGTCGGTCGTGGGGCTTGAACTCTGGGCCTGGGCGCTGTCCCTCAGCTCTTCAGTTCAAGGCGAGTGCTCTACCACTTGAGCTACAGAGCCACTTCCGGTTTTCTGGTGGTTTATTGGAGATAGGAGTCTCACGGTCTCTCCTGCCTGGGCTGGCTTTGAACCGAAATCCTCAGATCTCAGCCTCCTGAGTAGCTAGGATTACAGGCGTGAGCCACCAGCGCCCTGCAATGCGTACATTTCTTATCAAGCATTACAGCCTTCTCCTTTGTTTACCCTTCACATCCCTTCCCAGCCTCCCTGCTATTTTCCCTTTTCTGAAAGTCAGAGTATTCAATTTAGTTTCAGGGTTTCTTTTCAAAATATTTTTTATTATATTTAAGTAGTTGTATGAGTTGCCATTTAACAAAAGTGTTTAAGAATAGAATGTATCTTAATTGATGTCACCCTTTTCAACATTCCTCTTTTTTTTTTTTTTGGTCGGTCGTGGGGCCTGAACTCTGGGCCTAAGCACTGTCCCTCAGCTCTTCAGCTCAAGGCTAGCGTTCTACCACTTGAGCCATAGCACCACTTCCAGCTTTTTCTGCTTATGTGGCACTGAGAAATCGAGCCCAGGGCCTCATACATACAAGGCAAGCGCTCTACCACTGAGCTACCTCCCAAGTCCCCTTTCAACATTCTTATCCTTCATTGTCCCAAATAATTTTTTTCAGTTCTAAATTTATGTGAATGACTTTCATGTAACACAGTTTCTCTGTTCCTACTCTCAGACTCTCAAGTTTTGCTACCTGTAGCACCTAGGCAACCTCTTCATTTTATTTCTCTCCCATCAGTCTCTTTGGCTTTTCAATCTGCCATACCCTTTACTAATAGATTCAGTGACCTAAAATATTTTCTAAAATAAAACTACATCGCTCCTTTATATCCAGAGAGTCAGATACATACAGCCCTTAGTTTGCCTTCCTTCATCATTAGGCATCTGTGTTTTTTAAAATCACTCCTGTTATTAGTCTACTTCTAAGCATAGGTTGTTTTAGAATGGTGTTAGTGCTTTTTTTTGTCTTGTGTGTACACGTCGGGCTCATTTTTGTAGCCACACATTGTTTTTTTCTTTTTTGCTGGTATCAGGGATTGCACTCCAGGCCTTATACTTACTCAACTTGTTAGGCTGAGACTCCAACACACAAGTGCTAGTCCTGCTTTTATGCTGGTTGTTTTGGAAATAGAATTTTACAGGCTTTTCTGCTTGAGCTGCTTTGAGCTGTGCTTCTTTGGATCTCAGCCTTCTAAATATCTAGGGCTACAGGAATGAGCTACCTGCCCCCAGCTCACACTTCTGTTTTGATACTATGATTGTATTCTTCGTTCCCATCTTTCCCATTCCTTGTCTAAGCATGTGCTTCTCCTTTCAGGTTTAGCCCAGATTTCACTTCTTCCATGACTGCTTCTGATTAGTTGGTAACATATCTTTCCCCAAGCTACAGACTGCCTTTTACATTTCCTTATTAGTGATCCAAGGGCTTACTTGTACCACTCAAGTATTTCTATCTAAATTTTTAAACAATAAAGTATCTAATAGCATTGGTATGAAGTACGGTCTCAGTAAATGATCATTTTCTTGGTGGGTATTAAGGAAGGATGCTTTGTAAGTGATTTTTTACTCCTTAATGGCTTCCCTTTGGTTTTGTAGAGGCTGCAAGTCGGGCCATAGTCCAGTTCCTGGAGATTAATCAGAGTGAAGAAGCCAGTAGAGGCTGGATGCTTCTGACAACAATTAATTTGTTGGCGTCCTCTGGCCAGGTGAGCTCTTAGTTTCACATGTTACAACTCAAAGACTTCTACCTATATCTTCTCCTGAGGTTTTGATAGAGAGCTTATCACCATCTGCAAAGAAAATACTATGATCATCATTTGTTCCCTCAACTCTACTTGCAGGTTATTTCATGCTTTCACATCTCTGGAAGGAGCTTGCCTCTTCTTTACTTTATTCCTGAGGAAGTGTATGGCTCACAGTAGTGCTTTCCATTGTTATCATGTTGTACCACAACATGTTGTACCACACATCAGTATGATACTGTTTTTATGCTAAGTAAAATGATGGATGATTATAGCTGGAGGCAAAAGTAGCCTAGGAACTCCGGGTAAAAATTCTCGCTTAGAAAAACATCCCTGTTGTCACTACATTTGATTTTGGTACCTTGCATCTTGCATATACATTTATCTAATTTTGGGGAAGGAAAGGAGAATAACAAAATGCTGAAAGAAGGACACAGTATTACCAATTGCAACAATGATACAAGAAATGAACCTTAACAACTTGGTGGGGGGAGAAGCAGGGGAGGTAGGGGAGGGAAGGGTCAGTGGAAGAAAAACAAAACGGGGTAACAATGCCCAACAAGAAATGTACTCATGACCTTACTGATGTCACTATAACCTCTCTGTACAGCATCTTTACAAGAAAATGAAATTTAACAAAAAAAAGAAAAATGTCTACTCATCTAAGTTACTCAGCTAGTACGGAATAAGTAACATAAATTGAGTACTTATAAATATTTCTCGTTTTTATGAGAAATAGGGACCATTACCATATTTTAGGGTAGTAAGTACTATCTTCCCATCTAATTTATTGTACAAATGGCCTTCCCCTAAATCAGCTTTAAGTATTTGACCAATGGTGCTTCCCTCCATAACACCAGTGTTCCAAATGCCAACGGGGGAGCATCATGACTTCTCGGTCAGCCTGGGCTACATAGGGAGACTCTGTTTCTTAAAGGGGGAAGAAGGGTAACAATAGATCAGGAAAAACCTAATCACCTGAAACAATTCAAATGTTGTCAAATCATGCTGCTTTGGTTAATGGGAAGAGAAAGCCAGTAATTAACTGGAAAATGGTAACATTTAAAAAGCAAATTCAGTGTTATGCTTTGAGCTGCATTTTTTGCGTAAGTGCCATTTTCTGCTGGCAACAGCAAGATACAGAGATGACTAAAATATGATTCTGACTCAACAGGAGTATGGCAGAGATGAAATAGAGGAAGATAATACCACATAACAAAATAATAGGATATGTTTAATGCTAAGAAAATAGAGTATGAGGTTATACATTTTGAGGGTTAGGGTAAGAAGAAAGATGGTCAATTAAGGAATAAGGCTAAGCATTGGCTCAAGTCTGTAATCCCAGTAACTTCAGAGGCAGAGGTAGGAGGACACAGTTCAGAGACAGGCTGAGCAATAAATGTTAGCAAACTGTATCTCAAAGAAGAAGCTGGACACTGTAGCTAATGTCTGGGATCCCAGCTATTCGGGAAGTATAGATAGGAAGCTCACAATCCTAGGTTGCTCCACCCCCAGCAGAAGCACTAGACCCTATCTGAAAAATAACTAAAATCAAAAAGGGATGGAAATGTAATTCAAGTGACAAAGTACCTACCCAGAAAGTTCAAAACCTTGTGTTCAAACCCCAGTACCAGCAAAAAGCATTTTTAAAGAATGTTTGAGGCATAACAGATATTTAAACACTGTTGACTGTATGGTAACATGGGATACTGAGAAATACTAAGTCATAGTTGAGTAGTACAGAGAACTTAGAGGAAATGATGCTGGTATGCAGAGATGGGTCAGGTTGTAGATAGAAGGAAGGAATCTGTCATCCCTCATCCTTCCATGTATCTAATTTATCTGCTGGTGTTTAAACTCAGGGCTAAGCACTTCACTTGCTAGACAGGTGCTCTTATCATTTGAGCCATACCCCCAGCCTTTTATTCTTCAGTTATTTTTTTTAAGAGTTCTGTGGTTTTTTGTGTATGGTCAGGTCTGGACAGGACTGTGATTATCCTGTGTATGTTTCCCCATAGCTTGGATGATAAGCCTGTCTCACCACACCTAGATTATTGGTTGAGATGGAGATCTTACTGTTTGCCCAGGCTGGCCTTGAGCACTGACCTCCCAGTCTCCACTCATTAAAAACTGGAATAAGAAAAATGAAACACTATCCTTGGTCTTGACAGGACTTATTCTTATACTCTTTCTCCTCTCCATTGCTTTATTTTTATATTAGTTTAGACTTCATCTCTATGTTTTTTTAAAATTAATTTTCTAATTATTTTCACCCCCTGTTTATGTTTCTGATCTATACTACCATCAGCTAATTGAAATTCTGGTTCTATCACTTTTTTTTTGTAACATCTCACTGAGTAAAATATCAGTCAGACTATAAAATACCTTTCATATTTCTTAGCAATCTTGAAATATTTACTGATGGTTTGAATATTCGTTGAATATAAATATTGAGTATAAATATACTCAGCCTTCATTGAGTATAAATAGTGTATGGATTAGATAATGATCTCTTAAGTTAAAGCAAGGTACATACTTGATAAAGCTTAACTCCTTCCCTTTTAAAAAGGAGATTAGAGTATCTACCACATGAGTTGACTTGAGAAATACATGAGATAATGTACAGGAAAATATGGCCTTATATGTATTATGCAGTGAACACTTAATTAGCCATTATTGTTCTGGCTTTTTGGACACTGTTTCTCAAACATATTTTATCATATGATCTAGCTTCCTTTGTATCTCATTTTAATTCCTTACTATTTCTACTTCGTTCCTGTTAATGTTGATCATTCCTATTTCTAGTGGGCTTTATGTATTACCATTGTTAGTATTGAGAGATGAAGTAGTTATCATGACTGCTGATGTTAGTAGACGTTGGTCTTCTGAAGGGCAGTGTGTTTGATCTTCTTGACACCAGCTTTCTGCACACTGCCTGACAAGCCATTCAAGATGCACTAAACTTTTATGTCAAACTGCACCTTTAAAAAAAATTTCTTAGCAATCTTGAAATATTTACTGTAAGATAGTCTGAAATTTTTTCCTCTGAAATCTAGGGGAATCGTATAAAGATATATTTTATATTGGAAATAACGGTATCTCTCATTTGTTTTCCTGGCTCCCAAAATGAAAAGAACAAAGATAGGAATGCTACTAAAGCAAATGCTGTTCTACAGTTTAGTGCTTAGTATCACCTTCTGGTAATTATGTTATTATCTTATATAACTGCTTTATGTACCATTTCCATCTGTCTTATAATACAGAAATGTGACACCCAGGTAAATTAAGTAACTTATCCATGTTCATTCTAGTTGTGTTTTCCTCTGGATCCTAAAGTATATTTCTTTGAAACAAGCTGTCTATAGGTAAATAAATATTACACTAAATAATAAATATGAATTTAGTAAATAAGTTACTAAGTAATATTAACCAGTTTCAATATTTGACTAAAGCAAATTGGTCTGAACAGAAAATTGAATGTTTAGCATGGATTTTTGGGAGTTTTTTTTTGTTTGTTTGTTAGGGGTATTATTAGTAGGAGCAAACATTTTAAATAGACTGAAAGCAGGTAAAAGTAACTGCATTGTTTAAGTATACCTATTAGAGTTACACCTGTCTATCTATTCACATGTTCATTGTATTTTTCCAGAAAACTGTGGACTGCATGACGACGATGTCAGTGCCTTCCACCCTGGTTAAGTGTCTGTATTTGTTCTTTGACCTTCCCCATGTGCCTGAGGCAGGTGGAGGTGCACAGAATGAGCTGCCTCTAGCAGAGCGCAGAGGACTACTCCAGAAGGTTTTTGTACAGGTAGGGAAGATGCTGTTTGTTGCTTATCATGATACTAGACTTGCATGCATGTTTCATCCTTGTGGCCAAAGCTGATCTGAACTGACTCCTGCCTCAATTTCCCCAATGTAGGACATAGTACCAAACTTCATATTCCTTTTCTAATACTCTGTTTATTGTGAGTTTTTGCCTCATATAATATTTGGAAATGCAGCAATAATATTAAATAATCTTTTCAGGAATATTTGAGTGAGACACAAGCAGTTCTTCTTTGTCTGGACAGAGTCAGCTATCAAAAGTACATTGGATATATAATAACATTCTTTAAGTGAATGAATCAAGGACAAAATGTTGACAAGCTTATCATTATTACGTGGAATTTTTTTTATAGTATCATGAACTTCCATACTGAACTTATAAAGTTGCCTGTTTTTTTTTTTTTTTTTTGTTGTTGTTGTTGTTTTGGTCTGGTCATGGGCCTGAACTCTAGGTCTGGGCAATGTCTCTCAGCTCTTCAGCTCAAGGCTAGCGCTCTACCCTTTGGGCCCCGGCCCCCTTCTGGCTTTTTTTTTTCTGCTTATGTGGTGCTGAGGAATCGAACCCAGGGCCTCAGGCATGCAAGGCAAGCGCTCTACCACTGAGCCACCTTCCCAGCCCAAGTTGTTTGTTTTTATTGAGTTGCCCCTCCTCCCTTGCAAAGCTCCTCTACTGTTTTCACTGCTCTTCTAATAGCACTGCAGTGAACTGAGGATTCAGGGACTTTTGTGAGCCAGAGTGATACCCTTTCTGGGGAGAAAAATTTCAAGACAGGCAGCCTACAAACATTTAGGATATAACTTCTTCATGAAACCTATAATTTTTAGCTAAAAATGACAAATACTATATGATGACCTATCTAAAGTCATTGAACAGTTAGAACAAAAAAGTAGAATTCTGATTGCCAGGGCCTAAAGAGAAGTAGGAAAAGATAATTGTGCACTGAAGAGATGATAAATTGAATGATTAATTTTTTTCCCACAATCAAAGGGTAAAGAGTAACAACAATACCTTTGAATCTGGGTCTCTGGATTTATGTAACCTGAGGTATAGTACTACAGTACTGAAGACAGCAATATCTGCCTGAAGGATTTCTATGAGGTTTAAATGAGATAGTGCATAGATCTATGGCTCCCTGCTTAGCACATCACTGATATTAAATAAAAGGAACTTTGATATCTGTAAACCTAGCTACTCAGGAGGCTGAAGTCTTGAGGATTACAGTTTGAAGCCAGCCCGGGCACGAAGTCTGTGAGCCTATTATCTCCAATCAACCACCAAAAAGCAAGTAGAGTTGTGGCTCAAGTAATAGAAAGCTAATTTTGAGAAAAACAGGTTAAGGACAGCACCCAGGCCTTGACATGTGTGCACGTGTGTGCGTGTGTGTGTGCAAGCGTGCACGCGCACACACACACACACACACACACACACACACACAAAGCGTGGTGTGTCCAGGTGGGTAGGAAGCAAAAAGAGAAGATAGTGGATCTATACCTAAGAAGGTAGAAAGAGGGCAAGATGACAGTGACATGCTCAGCGCATGCTGTGAGTGCCTTTTCAGTAGGAGTAATGCTGTGAAGAGGTGTTACTACTAAAAGTATGGGGTTGAGGGACACTAGGAGTGTTTGAGAAAGGACAAGATTAGGAATGGCAAGATACTAACACAGCAAATACTGATTACTTCACTTTTTAGATAGAAAACAACTTGATAGCTTTTATCTTCCCCTAAATAATTATGTGAACAAATAGTATTAGAACTCAGGCTTATTAGACACTCAAATTAGATTGATTAGGAAAAACCATGAGAATAAGTGAAGGAATAAATACTGTAAGAATGAAAGCTGCTTGAAGATCTTGTTGAGTAATGTAGTGGATTAATTATTGATGATTGGACTAGAGGCTCATTTCAGGAAAGCCCTTCTGGAAAACCTTTGATGTATCAGGCAATGGAAGCTCTACTTAATACTAATAATGCCTAAGTAAGCAGAGCAAAGTTTTCTTTGAAAACTAAAAAGAAAAAAAAATCCCTATATTGGAAAACAGTGAATGCTGACTTAGAAATAATGTGGAGCATTGAACATTGCGACTAAAAGGAACTCAAAGTGTAATGTAAATTGAAATCCTACTTGATACTGGCAGAATCTGATGTCCTTGTCAGTGGTATACAACAGGTGAGCAGTAGTGAAGAGACACCCTCTTCCATCCCAGAGTGCATCACTTCCTTTGCTTCCTCCCTCATCCCAGGCTGCATATTACTTACATCATTTTGTCTAGGAAACCAACTGATACACCTGATTAAGTATTTTACAATAAATGGAATCTTCCAGCTTGTACTAGGTGGCAGATGGTTGATTGCCTGGGACCTTGTGTTGGTGCTGGGCATGTGCCGTCATTAGCATGACCCATTGTCCCTGCCACCTTGGTTAGATATTGTAACAGGGTCCTGTGTGTGGCAGTGCTTAGTGTTGAGGCAGAAGAGGAAGACAGGTAGACTTTTGCGTTTCTTACTCTATAATATGTAAAGGATTATACTAGATTGCTTGGAGGAATCTCTTTGCATGTAAAGATTAAGAAACAATTACCTTAGGATTCAAGGCATCATTAAATTGGTTTATTTGTGAACAGGGATTTGGATTGAGAGGAAAAACTTACTGTCTTGGGATTGGATTTCTGTGTTACAAATTAGAAAAACAGCATTTGTCCCTGTAATCGCATAAGGTGGTATCAGAAGCAACTGCAAATGTAATTGACTTTGCACCCGTCTGAGCACATAACTAACTCCTTGTGGTATACTTGACTATCTGTGCTCACATGTGGAAAAGGCAGACACGCTTTACCTATCAATGGACATTAGATGTCCAATAGTTTCTCTAGTGTTTATAGGTTAAGGGGGCCATATTTACTAATCATAAAAATATTTTACTGTTTTCCTGAATTCTTAATTTTTTTTCTTCCTGATACTTGCCAGCTATGAAGGAGGAAGCTTTTGTATCTAAGCAAGCTTTTACCAAAAATAGAAATGGAGGACCTACTTTCTCATACTGACTGTGATATTTTTAATACCTCTTTTTCTGTTTAGCAGTTTTTCTACTAATATTGAAATGTTACAATTTCTTGAATAGTTTTCTTTTGAGAGTAAAATGATTTCATAGTTACTTTGTGTTTTAAAAATATTTAGATGAGAATATTTATCTAGCATAGAGAATAGTTAACTTTTTCTGACACTAAAATTAAAAGGAAAAATCCATTGAAAGTAGAATATCATTGTTGAATTCCCAGATAGTAGACTCTTAATACTGGGAGAATTTGTGTAGTGTATGTTTTGCAAATTATAGTTAAATATTAAGTTTTTATTCAAGATTTGAAGAAGGTTTAAGTCTTTTAAAGACAGGCTTCAGAAGGTTTTTGGTAACTGGATATAAATGAAAGATCCTTGCAAATTAGGTTTATTTATATTAATCATATATCTCCTTTTACTTGTATGCAAAATTAAAACAATTAAAAATATCTTTACAAGATCTATTTTAAATTTCTTCCCATAGATTGTTTTTTTAAAGAAGAATAATACATTTTTACCTGTGCATAGTAAGAACTAAATTAGAAAAATAAAATGCTAACTATGAAAGGTATTGCTGCTATATTCCTGTTTCAATCCACAGTCTACAAAATTATTACAGTGAAGAAAAGACAGAAAAAAATTTTTTTTGGGGGGCGTCCAGTCGTGGGGCCTGAACTCTGGGCCTGGGCGCTGTCCCTTAGCTCTTCAGCTCAAGGCTATCACTCTACCACTTGAGCCACAGCACCACTTCCGGCTTTTTTCTTTTTGCTTATGTGGTGCTGAGGAATCGAACCCAGGGCCTCATGCATGCAAGGCATGCGCTCTACCACTGAGCCATCTTCCCAGCCCCCAAAAATATATTTTTTTTAATAAGCCAGCTTAAGTAGGATGGGTTCAATGATTCAGCATAACACATCTAAATTATAGATGTCTTTAAAATGGTTGCCTATAAGCCCAACTCATTGTGGTTTCAATAACGTTGCTCAGTGTTTACCAGGAACTTTTGAATGGCATTTAGGACTTACCCTTTTTTGTCTCTTCCCTTTCCTCTACCATTTATTTTCTCTCTCTCTCTTTTTCTTAAGATTTTAGTGAAGCTTTGCAGTTTTGTTTCTCCGGCAGAGGAGCTGGCTCAGAAAGATGATCTCCAGCTTTTATTTAGTGCAATAACCTCCTGGTGCCCTCCCTACAACCTTCCTTGGAGGAAGAGCGCAGGAGAAGTCCTGATGACCATATCCCGGCATGGGCTTAGTGTCAATGTAGTGAAGTATATTCATGGTGAGTTACTCTTCACACGGTCATCTTATATGGTCTCACTCTCTCCCACTTTTCTTCATTTGATGACAGATTTACAACTGTCTCTTAGTCTTTAAATGAAAAAGTAGATTTTCCAGGCAAAAAAGTATTTATTTGTGGAACATTTCAAATATGAAAAATTCTCATGAGTTCTGAATGATTGGTATTTACAACAGGTAAAATTTGTTGTTAGTTACCATTTAGTAAGTTCTGTGTTATAGCTTCTTCTCTTTTGCTGAAAAACAAGGCATTCAATTTTTAAGTGCTATACTTAACAGTTGTAATTTGAAATGTTGTATTTACCAGTCATTCTGAACATAATCATAAATGGCTGTATGTAGTACTATCTTTAACCCAGAAGAGATAGGATTAGGTAGATTCTCCATCAATATTAAAGAGATATTATCTGTCTCTTAAGTTCATATATAATAGTGTACTCTTCTTCCAGACCTTTATTTAGGAGAAAATTGCTGTAGCATTGTAAGTATTTTATTTATTTTACATGCGTACATACATATATAACATGGATGCTAACTTTCCTCGGTTTATATAAATAATTATTTCAAAATAATAGAACTCTTTGTTGACTTACAGTGATTAAATGGTGTAAGTTAAGCCTAATGTATAATAAACTCAGTATTTCTTTCTGTTCCTGTCATCACCTTAAACTGTTTAAAGTAGTATAATCAGGTATATATGTGATTTTCAAAACTATTTTCCAAGCTGAGAAGTTGGCTCAGTGGTAAAGTGCTTGCCTTGTATTCATGAGGCCCTGGGTTTGATTCCTCAGCACAACATGAGCAGAAAAAGCCAGAAGTGGTGCTGTGGCTCAAGTGGTGGAGCACTAGCCTTGAGCTGAAGAGCTGAGGGAATGTGCTCAGGCCCCACTACTGACAAAAACAAAAAACAAAAATCCCGTATTTTCCAAAATATATAAGTATCTCTTTGGTCTTCTTTTACTTGATTTTAGTTACACCAAATAAGGAGGTTTGATTCAGAAACTTCTTAAAGTTCATCCTATTACTATGTCAAAATAAAGGCTAAAGAAGGAAAAATTGGAACTGACATCAATGTAAGAGGAAAAAATTATTTAAAAAAAGGACTGTTTTCAACATGTTCCTCTATTATCCTTTACTACTTAGAGGTCAGGTTCTTTGAATCATATTTAAATCTTATATTTACTTTCAGACTGTGTAACATTTATTACATTAAAACTTAATGTTGAGCCAGGTACCTGGTGCTCACATCTGTAATTCTGACTACTCAGAAGACTGATGTCTGGGGATTAAAGTTCAAAGCCAGCCCCTGCAGGAAAGTCTGTCATGAGATTCTTCTTTCCAGTTACTACCAAAAAAACCAGAAGTGGAGCTGTGGCTCAAGTGATACAGGACTAACCTTGAGAGGGGGGGGGGGAAAAAACCCTCAGGACAGCACTCAGGCCCTGAGTTCTGAGTTCAAGCACCAGGACTGGCACAAACACCATTAAACACCAGTTAAGAATGAAGGACATTTTCTTAAGCAGCAGATATAAATAAATAGTAACTACTTATTCCATTATTTATTCCTACAGAAAAAGAATGTTTATCTACATGTGTTCAGAATATGCAGCAGTCAGATGACCTGTCTCCCTTAGAAATTGTTGAAATGTTTGCTGGGCTTTCTTGTTTCCTCAAAGATTCCAGTGATGTTTCCCAAACTCTCTTAGATGATTTTCGGATATGGCAAGGATATAATTTTCTTTGTGATCTTTTGCTTAGGTAAGTACCAGAATTATGTTTGAAGTGTCTTCTAAGGTGTTTGGTTTTTTTTTCTATCAAAGGGAACAATGTGTTTAGGGATTATAGAAAGGATTCGCTCACACATTTATTTCTTTATTTTAACATTTTTTTTATTGTAGAAATACTGTATACAGGGATTACAGTTACATGAGTAAGGTAACGAGTACATTTCCTATCGAGCATTGTTACCTCCTCCTTTGTTTTTCCCCTATCATCTATCTATTCTCTCCCCATCTCCCCAACACCCCTCTTCTCCCCCTCAGTTGTAAAATTCACTTTCAACATAGTGCCTTGTACATTTCATTGTTAAAGTGGGTCAACCTCTATCCTTATTTAAGCATTTTGTTTTTCCCTTCTCCCCAAATTAGAACACTGTATATATTAGAATACTGGAATCAAATACAGTGACAACAAGGGGGGTATAGCATGGGGGAAGAACATATAAAAGAAACAAACAAAAAAAATCACATAGTACATTTTAAATACATTAAAAACAATAGCAAGAAAGAAAAAAAAACACTTGTGTCCCTAATTTGGGGTTCATTTCACTTAACATCATTATAAGGTCCTACGTACATAGCTTTTGACCTTTTCTGCTTGTCCTAGTCTTACACTAGTTATTGCAAATAAGGGAAACCATGGGAAACTATGTTTCTTTGGGTCTGGCTTACTTTGCTTAATATTTTTTCATAGTCTTTCCATTTCCTAACAAATGGGGCGATTCCATTCTTTCTGATGGGGGCATAGAATTCCATTGTGTGTGTGTGTGTGTGTGTGTGTGTGTGTGTGTGTGTGTGTGAACAAATGGGGCGATTCCATTCTTTCTGATGGGGGCATAGAATTCCTGTGTGTGTGTGTGTGTGTGTGTGTGTGTGTGTATAAAAATCACATTTTCTTTTTTCTTTTTTAATTTAATTTAATTTTATTTGTGAACATACTGTACAGAGGGGTTACAATTACATGGGTGGGATAATGCATACATTTCTTACAAAGAATTGCAGCCTCCTCCTTTGTTTACCCTTCACATCCCTTCCCAGCCTCTCTTCTCCCCCCCAATCCCAATCCTTCTCCTCCCCCCCCATTGTAAAGCTCGTTTTGGGCATGACAACTTGTACTTCTCAAAAAATCACATTTTTTGATCCATTCATCTACTGAGGGGCATCTGGGTTGGTTCCATATCTTAGCTATGGTGAATAATGCTATGATAAACATAATTGTGCTGGTAGCTTTAGTACAGCCTTGTTTGTGATCGGTTGGATAAATGCCCAAAAGTTGGATTGCTGGGCCATAGGGGAGCACTATGGGGAGTCTTTTGAGGAACCTCCATACTGCTTTCCAAAGTGGTTGAACAAGTTTACACTCTCACCAACAATGCAGTAGGGTTCCCTTTTGGCCACATTCCCTCCAGCATCTGTTATTAGATTTCCTGATTATAGCCATTCTAACTGGGCACTCACACATTTATTTAATGTATGCAATATGCTGTGATGTCCTCTTTGCTTTGCTGTCCTTTTTGTGCATATTCTATCAACAAAGTAGAAAGCTGTAGTCTAGAATAAAATGGTCAAGTAGAAAGGTTAGATATTAGTAACACTGCTCTTGTTTAGTAACTGCTGGACAAGAGGTTACATGAATTTACTATCATTATCCTGAAGTGTTAATAAATATTTGTGTTTATTTATATTTTTGGTTTTCTTTATTTATAGTACTTATAATACTTTTATTAATAAAGTTAATAGCAAGAACAGTTATTTAAATTGAGTGAGACCTTTGACATTGATATAAAAACAATCAGTTTTTCCAAAAGGTTTTATTTACCTTGCTTTTCCATTTTATATGCTAGTTATTTTTTTGTGCTTGTTTCCTAAGTTGATGAAATTAGCTGTTCATGTTACTACTGGAGGGCTAGTTTGTGCCACAGTATCAGAATGCAGGTTGACCATGCTATAACCCATTTTCACTGTATTTGATTCTGGTGCCCTGCATCTTGTATATACAATTTTCTAATTTGGGGAGGGGAAGGGAAATAACAAAATGCCTAAATAAGGATGCAGTTTGACCCATTGTAACAGTGAGATGTACAAAATACTATGTTGAAAATGAACTTTACAACTTTGGGTATGGGGGGTGGAGAAGTCAGGGAGCTGGGGAGGGAAGGGATGGAGGGAGGGACGGGATGGTAGGGGGTAAAACAAAGGAGGAGGTAGGAAATGTACATATTACAATTACCTTACTCATGTAACTGTATCCCCTCTGTACAGTATCTTTACAATAAAAAAATACAAAAATGAATGCAGATTGATAAGATATTATATAATACCTCAAAGTGATTAATATTCAGTCCTGATACTTAACTGTAGTTATTGATCCTAATTGTATAATGATTACCTATAGTTATTGATTCTAAATGTAGACAGAGTTTCATGTATATCAGTGCTCTTGTCTTCTGTTCCCTGTCCTTCCTTCTTCCTGCCAAAGCTGTGGTTGCTTCTTGATGGGCATTTGTGTGTGTGTGTGTGTGTGTGTGTGTGTGTGTGTGTGTGTGTGTGTGTGTGTGTGTGTGTGTTTGTATATCTGTGTTTGTGTGTTTGCACATGCCCCAGAAGTGGGGCTTGAACTCAGGGCCTTGTACTTGGCTTTTTTTGTTTGAGCCTGGTGCTCTACCATTTGAGCCATATCTTTCTTTCTCTGTGGTTCCTTGAGAAGAGCTTATATTAACGTTGAGGCTTACATGGATAACTAAAAAGTAAGAATAAAGAAGGCTACCCAGTTATGTCCGTGAGTTGATAAAAATTTTTATAGAAACTAAAGTTTTCACATTGAAAGACAAGTTAAAAAGATATTAGGATTTTGTTTGTTTGTTTGTTTTTGGTTGACCATGGAGCCTATCTCTGGGCCTGGGCTCTGTCCTACAGCTCTTCAGCTCAAGGTTATTGTTCTACCATTTGAGCCACAGTGCCACTTTCGGCTTTTTCTGCTTATGTGGTGCTGAGAAATTGAACCCAGGGCCTCAGCATGCAAGGCAAGTACTCTACCACTGAGCCACCTTCCCAGCCCAAAAATACATTAAGATTTTAAAAGTGGATATTATGGGATTGAGCATTTAGATTTCTTCCAGCATTTTTTATTATCATTAAAGCCAGACTCAAAAGGTAATTCCTACATGACTCCAAACAGTGTTCTTTCAAAAGGAATTAAGACTATTAAAAAAATTTCTTTAGGTACCCAAAACCTATCTAACAATATTACCTGGATAAATTAATGCAATGCAGGTAAAATTCTTAGAACTCTGCGCAGAGTTTATTTTGAAACATCACTTACAGAGAAAATGTCTTAGGATGGAGTATTCAAGAGGTTTGGGTTTTAATCAGGTAAAATGTATATAAGTTTAGAGCTTTAGAGAATTTGAGAAAAAATATTTAATCTAATTCTTTTATCATAATAAAGCTTTCTATCAAAGATCAGTGGTTATCTAAAGTAACATTATTAGTGACAAAATTAGCATCTGAATTATATCAATATCTTCTGATTGTTGATGATTTTCTTCCAAATATGCTATAATGTGTTACAATAAAACATGTATATGTTTTAACCATAGGAAAAATTGTAATAATCTTTCTAAGAACTGGATGTTTATTTACTGATTCTAAAATTGAAAAATATTTTCTGCATTAAGTTGAAAACTATAACAAAAAAAAGTTTGCTTAATTGTACTTTTTCTAGATTGGAACAAGCAAAAGAGGCAGAATCCAAAGATGCCTTGAAAGATCTAGTTCATCTGATAACTTCCCTAACAACATATGGGGTCAGTGAACTCAAGCCAGCTGGTATTACCACAGGGGCACCTTTTTTATTGCCTGGATTTGCAGTCCCTCAGCCCGCAGGCAAAGGTGAGTTTTAACCTCATCTCCACATCCTCTCCTAGCTACACAGAGAAATGGAGAAGGCTGCTTTATGGTAGACAATTCATCCTTGCACGTGTTTATTAATCTGCTTCATCTTTAATAAATGATATCACTTGAAACCAAATAGTGACCAAATTTCAGAAAATTTGTATTTTCTCATATTATCCTAAATCTAGCTCTTACCTTAACTAATTTGTCACTTCTTTTGTCACATTTAGTTAGGCCTTACATTTGTATATCTAGAAGTTTGTCTAAACTTGGTTTACGGTAAAGCTACAGCTAATACAAAGGTAGGAAGAAGCATATTGAAGGAGTGGGTGAAATACAGTCATAATGTGTGTGTGTGTGTAAAATGGAACTAGGAAAATTGAGGTGATGGGTGGGATTGGGAGAAATGGGGGAGAACTATGAGAAGGATGACATTGATCCAACATACATTGGACTCATAAGCTAACATGTTGAATTGAAAACCCTTTATACAGCTACTTAAAAATATCTTAAAAAGAACAAACTTATTGTTGACAAATAATTAAAAATGAACTAATCTCTGATATTTGCCAAACATTGAATAAATTAGTGTTAAAAATGAAATAATATATAAGTTGAAGATGGAAAAACATCTTTATGTTTTTCATAACTATTTGCAACAAGATTTCTGAACAACCTTCTAGCCCATTGTGCGTTTTTCTGAGTTCTATATTTACATTATATCTAAAACTTCAGCTTGTTCTGTAAGGACCTGGGTTAATTTTTTTGGTCAGTCTTGTGAATGCTTTATTCTTGTAATAGTTTTGGACCAGGGGACATTTTTAGAGATAAAAACTTATTTACATTTTCCTCAAATACAACTTTCTGTGTTAACTTCTCAATAATGATTATTATTAGTGTCATGAATCATGTGTAATTTTTTTCTAATTGATACATTTGAGAGTCATTTAAAAATATACTTAGTAACTGGTCTTTAGTTGCCTTGACAAATGTTTATGTAAAAAATTGCAAGTTTTAGCCTCCACACAGAATAAACTTCTGAACTAACACTTAAGAAAATTACGGTGTTGTATAAATGTGAAGAGAAAAAGGAAACTTAGAGAACTTCTTTCCCTCCTAATGCTCTGTTTTCATTTTTGCTGCTCTTGAGCTTATTACTACAGCCTCCAAGTCTTCCATTCAGGGTCAATCTTACTATATTCAAATGAAGAAGACCTATCTCCACTCAGAAACTAGATGTACACAATACACTTTAATTCTTTCTAAAGCAATTGATTTCCAACATATGTTATATACTTGAGTTGAAATATTCATGATGATACATGAGGGGTTTAATCAATATGTTTGTGTGTGTGTGTGTGTGTGTGTGTTTGTATGTGTGTGCATGCACATATGCGTGTAGGTCGTAGGGCTTGAATTTAGGGCCTGGATGCTGTCCTTGAGTCTCTTTAGCTCAAGGCTAGTGCTCTACCACTTGTGCCACAGCCCCATTTCTAGCTTTTTTAGTAGTTTATTGGAGATAAGAGTCTCACAGACTTTCCTTTTTAGGCCAACTTTGAACTGTAATCCTCAGATCCCAGCCTCCTGAATAGCAAGGATTACATGCATGAACCATCAGCGCCTGGCAATCATAGGTTTTAATTGAATGTTTTGTACCTGTTGAAGAAAAATAAGATCTTTAACCAGGCTATATATTCTTATTAAATAGTTGATGTTGAAAGTTGTGTTTAAGCAGATTTGTTTTCCATGACTAAAATATCACATAGCACCTACTTTTGTGTTCTTGTTTTCTGTTGCAGGTCACAGTGTGAGAAACATCCAGGCCTTTGCAGTTCTTCAGAATGCATTTTTGAAAGCAAAAACCAACTTCCTTGCCCAGATCATTCTTGATGCTATCACAAATATTTACATGGCAGACAATGCTAATTATTTCATCCTAGAATCACAACACACATTGTCACAGTTTGCAGAGAAGATTTCTAAACTCCCCGAAGTACAAAACAAATACTTTGAGATGCTGGAGTTTGTTGTTTTTAGCTTAAATTATATTCCGTGTAAAGAACTTATTAGTGTTAGTATCCTCTTAAAATCTAGCTCTTCTTACCACTGTAGCATTGTTGCAATGAAGACACTTCTTAAGTTCACAAGACATGACTATGTATTTAAGGATGTATTTAGGGAAGTGGGTCTTCTTGAGGTCATGGTAACCCTTTTACATAAATATGCTGCCCTGTTGAAGGACCCAGCTCAGGCACTGAATGAACAAGGTAAAGTATTTGCCCTGGTCCTGTTTTCACTTGACAAGGGAGGTTGGGAAGACTTTTTCTTGTTGTGCTTCTCCTTGGATTATTGATTTTAATAACTTCCTGATATATGATTGGGAATTTCTAGTGAATATTTACCAAAGTTTTCCCCTCTAGCCCAAGAGGCTGGATAAAGGGAACCTAGAAATACGTTATTGTAGTAAAGACAATTTAAGTTAGGGTAAAAGGTGAGGTAAAACATGTATAAACTATATTACATTATGAGGAACTATTACTGTTATAAGAGAATTTTTGCAACATTCTGGAAATAATTGCAATTATGTATTATAGTTACATGTGTAAGTACCTCTAAATCTTTTAATAAATTACACAGGCAAAATATTTATTGATATTAGCACAAATGTATTATTAGGTACCTTTGTGGAAAATCTGATAAAGGTATAGTAAGTAGTATCTGGCATTAAATAAATCTGCTGTTAAATATGAGTGAATAAAATTTGAGTAGTTTATACTATTTGTAGGCTTCTTTGTCATTGGACATGAAGATGTAGCCTTCTGCTGTTGACTTTCCTTAGAAGGATAGATTTAGACCCCTCTGTACAGTATGTTCACAAAAAAAATAAAATAAAAAAAGAAGGATAGATTTAGCTTGCCTTCTTCATTTTCAGTATTTCTTAAATGCCTTTATAGCCACACCAAAATAAAGTCTATTGACATTGATTTGACTTTGAGTTTTGACATTGACTTAGCGCAGATGTTAGAACTGTGTATCATTTTAAAGGTTGTATTATAGCCATTGTAGTCGTGCTGAATGTGAATTCTAAGTATTAAAGGGAATTAAGAAAGTAAAACTGACTCTAAAAAATGAGCTTACCACTTTGATAATTTGGAACTTCTTTTCTAGGAGACTCAAGAAATAACAGTTCAGTTGAAGACCAAAAGCATCTGGCTCTTTTGGTCATGGAGACCTTGACAGTGCTTCTCCAAGGATCAAACACAAATGCAGGTAGTTAGAAAAGCCACTGCAAATGCTTTGTGAAGAGACTTCCTCTGGTTACACTTCTGTAGTTCTTCTGAAATGATTGTGTTCCATGCAGGAGGGACTGTTGACTCAATGATTGTACAGTCATGTCCCTACAATACTATGATAGCAATATATATGAAGCATTGTTACTGTTTTCAATTTTTTTATTACTTTTGATTATATCCCTTGTGTTTAAAGTAGTCCTTTTGTAACTAATTTTTTACTTATATAATGAATTCTTATTCAAGTAATTGGCTTAATTCAAGTAATTGGCTTAAGTTTTCTTCACTGATCCACTGAGTGACTGAGTTTTTCAAAAAATGCACATTAAAACTATTTTAATGTTATAATCATAAGGAAATATCAAAAAAATGATTATGGGGTTCCAGGCTTGGGTCAGTTGGTAGAGCACCAGCGAATGAGCAAAATGGCAAGCACTAAGCTGAGTCCCATTCTTGCAACAAAGAAGAAAAAGAGGAAAAGAAATTAAAGACAGATTCTGTAGTAAAAATTGAGTCTTTTCAAATAAAATACTTCACTAGATATTTTGTTTTACTTTTGGTCTCAGATTTTCTTCAATCCTTTTCTTCCTGCAGTTAGCAGAAGTCCAACTATATTTTTTGTTGTAGGTTGTGGTTTGAACTCAGGGCCTGGGCACTGTCTCTGAGCTCTTTTGCCCAAGGCTAACACTCTACCACTTTGAAACGTAATGCCACTTAGATTTTCTGGTGGCTAATTGGAGATGAGAGTCTCGTGGACTTTCTTGTACAGGCTGGCTTTAAACCTCAGTCTTCAGATCTCAGCCTCCTCAGTAGCTAGCCACTTGGACTCAGCATCCAACTATATTGATAAAGTATCATAGTTCCTTTTAAAAATGATTACTTAAAATTTTAATAACACTCTCAAGCCATTAGGTCAATACATCTTGAGACGAATAAATGTGGGAAATCTAAGCGCAGGTAAGTGGGCCAGGCCCCAATCAGGGAGAACTTTTTAGAACATAACAAGGAGATTTGGATTAGATTGTAAGTGTATGAGAAGCCATGCATGAGTGAATGAATGAGGACATCAATAAGTCTTATTCACAAATGGATGACTGTTTATTTTCCTGAACAGAGAAATTCAATGTTCAACATAAAATACATTACGTTTCCCAGGCATCATACTAGTTGTCAGAGATACAAAGATAATTCTTACTCCAGGGGAATTGCCCATCTAATTGAGAAAGATATAAACTCATAATCATATAAGTAATAATTTAAATATAATTTTGTCAACTACCAAGAAACAGCTGAATGAATTTAGTAGGTAATTGAAGCAGTATGATTGAAGTGTAATGGGCACTGGAGTAAAATTTTGTCTGTTGTATAAAACATGATTTTCTTGTTTCTTCAAACTAGATTTAGTTGATTCAGGTTCTAAGAAACATAATAAAGATACACAGACAGGAATTTATTTGGCAAATTAGCTTTTCATGATGTGACATGGAGTTATACAGAGAAGGACTGGTCCATCTGTTCTTGAAGGGGAATAGGAAGTTTACTCTGTGATTCAGTTACTTAATACCTCTTCCAGGGTACCATACATTCTTACACAGTTCTTTGCTTGATACCTTTCTCTTCCTTGCTAAGAAAGTTGTTACTTGGCTATATGATCTGCAGCACTTTGAAGCAGTACTTTGCTTATAGTAAATTATTGAAAGTATTAACCATAACTATTATATAATGGTCCTAAATGGTAACCAGCAGGTAAGTAAGCCCGAACTTTCACATAATCAGAAGTTGTTGCAAATGCTGTGGGCTAAATTTTTTGTTGTTGAATTTTTTGTCTGACTATCTAGTGCAGGCTGGCTATAAACTTACTCCCCCTACCTCTACCTCCTGCTGTAATTACAGGAGTGCATCACCATACTTACATGCTAATAATATTTCTTTCCTCCCCCCCACCCCCACCTTTTTCAGACCAGGTCTCACTGTAGCTCAGGCTGGTCTGGAATTCAGACAGATCTCTCACTTTTGATCTTCCTATCTCTGCCTCCTGAGTGCTGGGTTTAGAGGTATAAACCATCACACTCAGCCTTCCATATGCTAAATGTTAAGCACATGACTTAATACTCACTTCAAGTTCACATAATTCCTGTAAAGTCACTAAGTAGAAAACTGTTACTCTGACAGGATAGTGGCTGCTATAACAAAGTATAGTATCAGCTATTTAACAAATCACAAGTATAGTATCAGTTATTTAACAAATCACAAGATTTATGGAAGAACCAAACATCTAAATGATAGCAAAACTTTTTTTTTTTTTGGGTCCAGTTGTGGGGCCTGAACTCTGGGCCTGGGCACTGTCCCTCAGCTCTTCAGCTCAAGGCTAACACAGGAACACAGATTTATAAGCTGGGATATGTAGATATAAATCTGGCTGTCATTCACTAACTGTTCCTTTAAACTTCTGTATGGAAGGGGATATGAACTAAGTAAGTCAATCTACACAACGGTTTTGGAGCAGTATAGTAACAATGTTTTCTACTATACAATTTCTTTTTGTTGTTGTTGTTCTTGTGTTCTACCATAGTTCCTTACAATTTTTCTTGTGGTAATTTATTCCATTCTTTTTTTTGCTACTATTTTTGAAGGACTGTTCAATTTAAATCTCATATGTAAGGGGTCTGTTCACTTGAACCCCTTTTATATAAGTTGATTTCAGTGCTGGGTTCCTGGAGATTTTATAAACACTTTAGATTTGGAGAATTCGGATATGGTAGATGTCAGAGCATTCATTAATCTTAAGCTGAGAAAATGTGCACATACATCTTGTACCATCCTATAGTACCCATTTTCACATGGGAATTTAAGAGTTGAAAGACTTGGCTAGGTCTTATTTTCATTCTTTTGAATGTCTACCTAAAAAAGAAATTTCATTTTAATTCATCTGGTTAATAGAGTGTTCGAAGGCCTCCTACATTCTGTGCTTTTCTTCCTCCTTTCAGGCATATTCCGCGAGTTTGGAGGTGCACGGTGCGCGCACAACATAGTGAAGTACCCTCAGTGCAGGCAGCACGCCCTGATGACTATCCAGCAGTTGGTGCTGTCTCCAAATGGGGACGATGACATGGGCACACTACTGGGCTTAATGCACTCAGCTCCACCCACAGAACTACAGTTGAAGACTGATATTTTAAGGGTAAATTGGATAATGTGCTTACTGTCTGGCTGCTATAAACCGTGGGGTTTTTTGGAAGTGATTTATAATTCATTAAAGATAGGGAAATTTCAAAAACCACGTTAGTACATATTAGAGATTTGGAAGAATATTCATGTCTTTCAGTAGGTTATTGACCTACTGCTAATAAACCTGTAGTAGTTTTACTGGCTTATAATAATTATCTTAAATTTAAAAGTACACTAGCAAAGTATAGCATCTTAATAATCTAATGTGAATATTACAGAGCTATTAAGCTTCAGAGATATTTCACACACATTCCTTTCACTTCACTCTCTTTGAATTTAAATAACATGTGTACCAAGTTAGAGAGTTCCATTAATATTTTCATTCTTCCATTTATTCATTGACACTCACTTTCTGAATACCATTTTCCATTGGAAGGAAGCAGAGCGACTTACAAAAATAGTTGACTTACGGTTAGGGCAGAAAACAAAATAAAATGACTAAAACATGTTATTTAGCCAGAAAGCCAGGAAGAGATCAAAAGAAATCAGTAAGTAAATGTATAAATTTAAAAATCAACAAGCAAGTGGGGGAAGAGTAATTCTTATAATCAGAATTTTTCATTGTCTCAAATTATGCCCTCTAAAGATCATTTTAATTTAATTTTTTTGGGGGGTCCAGTCGTGAGGCCTGAACTCTGGGCCTGGGCGCTGTACCTCAGCTCTTCAGCTCAAGGCTAGCGCTCTACCACTTGAGCTACAGCACCACTTCTGGCTTTTTTCTTTTTGCTTATGTGATGCTGAGGAATCAAACCCAGGGCCTCAGGCATGCAAGGCAAGCGCTCTACCACTGAGCCACCTTCCCAGCCCCTCATTTTAATTTTAAATGGTGAAATAATAGCTTTACATTTGGCTCTTCCTTAAATAAATGAGGATCTGCTTTGAGAAGTGATTTCACTGTTGTGTACATCTCATAGTAGAGTTACTCCTAGGTTCACAATGTAATTTACTCTCTGGCTGGATGTCCAGCCTGTTGTGCAACAGCCCTGTGTTATATATTAATTCCACATGCAGATACTCAAGAACATTCAGAATAGTAACTTATAGAAAATAGTTAGCAAGTGACTTTGAAGTTTGTTACTAACTTCAGCAAATAATTAAATTTTTCCTAGTATTTTAAATATTTCAGCTACTAAGATTTTGATATGATAATGTCAATGGGTAAGTCAGCTTTGAAGACATAGGAGATGACCTGTCCAGAAAACTGCAATACAGAGTATCAGACTAAGGATTCATAAGCGCTGTTTTTCTTAACCCCTTTTGTAATTCTGTATTTGTGCGTGCGTGCGTGTGTGCATGTGTGCGTGTGTGTGTGTGTGTGTGTGTACTTGAACTCTGGACCTCATGGCTTTGCTTAGCTTTTCTATTCAAGGCTGGTCCTTTTTCATCTGAGCCATACATGGTTTATAACTGTTTAATAAAAGTCTCACAAACTTTTCTGCCTAGTTTGGCTTTGAACTGCCATCTTTCAACTCTCAGTCTCATAAATTGCTTGGAGTCACTATAATTCTTTTTTTCTTTTTTTTTTTTTGGTCAGTCATGGGGCTTGAACTCTGGGCTTGGGCGCTGTTCCTATGCTCTTCAGCTCAAGGCAAGCACTCTACCACTTAAGCCACAGCACCACTTCCGGTTTTCTAGTGGTTTATTGGAGATAAGAGTCTCATGGACTTTCCTGTCCGGGCTGGCTTTGAACCACGATCCTCAGATCTCAGCCTCCTGAATAGCTAGGATTACAGATGTGAGCCACTGGTGCACAGTTTGCCACTATAATTCTTACAGTGAGGTTTTACATGTTTCTCTGAATACATTCTTCCTCATCTATCAAATAATAAAGTCATATGCTATTTTAGAACTGAAAAGTTTGTTGCCTTTTATATTTGTTCTGTCAGTTGTAGATTTTATTGTTTCAGTTTTTTTGTTAGTGATGGGGTTTGAACTCAGGGCCTAGGCACTGTCACTGAGCTCTTTTTACTAAAGGCTCACTTTGAGCCACAGCTCCACTTCCCAGTTTTCTGCTAGTTAATTGGAGATAAGATTCTCATAAACTTTTCTGCCTGGGCTGGCTTTGAACTCCTCAGATCTGAGTAACTAGGATTACAGGCATGAGCCACCAGCACCCGGTGCTCTGTTGCATTTTATTATCCCTTTTCTATGTTTAGTTATGTTAAAACACACAATTCTTACCATTATATTATGGCTCTTACAGTATATAGCAGTGTATCAATCACTGTGCAGGCCTGGAGCCTGAGAGCAATAGGCTGACTGTCCAGTGCAGTAGGTTGTGACACCTGGGAGTGTGTAAGTATGCTGTGAGTCTTAGACAACAGTAAGATCTCTTCTCATTGCTAATCTTCATTGTTAAAGCTACATATGACTTGTCATATTTTTTCCTCAATGTATTCTCCAAAAAAATGTGATAGGCTTCCATGCCAGGTGCTTTGCAGTGTTTTAACTATGTTTCTTGTGAGGTAAGTTGCTGTTTTTGCTTTACTTGGTGGGAGGTTGAATAGATAGGTGCTGAAACATTATTTAAATTAGATTTAAACACAATCATTCATACCGTAACATTTGCAGTTAACCTGTAGAATTCTATAAGATCTTCTTTTAAGTTAAAAAGGCTTATATTAATATGAGTTAATATTTCAAGTATAAATACAGTTTATTAAATTTGACAAGACAAGGAAGTTTTATTATTGAGCAAATACTATTAAAATAGAAATTAATTGGTACAAAATAATGGAAAAATATAGTGTGGGTTGTTTTGTTTGTTTATGCCAATCCTGGGACTTAAACCCAGGGCCTACGCACTGTAACTTGGGCTATTTTTTTCAAGGCTAGTTCTTTACCACTTACGCCTGAGCTCTGTTCCAAGTTTTTGGTCATTTATTGCAGATAAGGTATCACACACTTTTCTGCCCAGCCTGGCTTCAAACTGTGATCCTCGTGTCTCAGTCTCCTGAATAGCTAGGATTATAGGTAGAGTGTTTTTAAGATTTCATTACATACATAGTTTGTATACTTTGTTTTTAAAAATGAGTTAAAGCATAAATTATATACAGTGATGTCTTTATAAGTTCTGAAGCAATACATTTCAAAATGTTGATATACACACATATATGTATAAACGCACATGTATATGTATGTATATGTGTATATATAGATGTGTGTGTATATTGTGTGTGTGTGTGTATATATATATATATATAACATATATATATATATATAGCTTTTCCATTCTTCAGATATCAATATCCTTAGAAATCTGTGAATTATGTTCATAAAATGATGTTCACATGTAATAACGGGTAAGATTGTTAAGTTGTGTTTTAAATAATAGACGTACCTTTCTTTCAGATACTTAAATATGAAGGAAAGAAGTCATTGTATATGTAAACAGATTCAAATTGCAGGCCCAGGCCAGTCTATAATGTAATGATTAACTGCATGAGTAGGGGAATTAGACTTGCCTGTGTCTAACTACTTAATTTGTAGATGATACTATCAGTTAAAGACCTAAGTAGAGTTTTTTAGTTAGCCTTTGGATATAATGATAACTGGAAATTGTCTCCTGCCCATTTTATGGCATTAGTTAACTAGCAAAGTATTTGATGTACTTTATACATCTCACTACGCAAATGACAGAAAGCTTCACATCAGATGTTTGACATTTATGCATAGTTTTTGTTTCAATTGTTTTTTTTTTTAATTTAAGTCATGGTTCGTGTTTTATCCTCTGTAGGCCCTTTTGTCAGTACTTCGAGAAAGCCATCGTTCCAGAACAGTTTTTAGGAAAGTTGGAGGATTTGTGTACATTACATCCTTGCTCGTTGCTATGGAAAGATCCTTAAGCTCTCCACCGAAGAATGGCTGGGAGAAAGTGAACCAAAATCAAGTGTTTGAGCTTCTCCACACTGTGTTCTGCACATTGACTGCAGCAATGCGCTATGAGCCAGCCAACTCTCATTTCTTCAAAACAGAGATTCAGTATGAGAAATTGGCAGATGCCGTTCGATTTCTTGGCTGCTTCTCAGACTTAAGAAAAATAAGCGTCATGAATGTCTTCCCCTCAAACACACAGCCATTTCAGAGACTACTTGAGGAAGACGTGACCTCAGTGGATTCAGTGTCACCCACTTTGCGACACTGCAGTAAACTCTTTATTTATCTCTACAAGGTAGCAACAGATTCTTTTGACAGGTATGGCTCTGCTCTGAATTCTCATTTAAGGTAGCACACGGGATGATTTCAACATTAAGATTTGAATTCTAAGTTAAAACACAGGAAAACCAAAGCAAATGAGTCTTCTATTTACTTTTATTTGGGACTTGCATGCTTCCCTGGTATTAAGTTTTTCAGTAAAGGAGTCTGTTTTATTTGTGAATTCAGGTTCACTTAAATAGGTTTATGACTTGCCTTTAATGATGGTATTTGCTATTGCTCTCTTCTTCTTTGCCCTCAAAATTATCAGGTCCATCTGTATTTCATGATATTGGTTATCAATAGGAGAATATGGGTATAATTACACATATTTCCAGAGAAGATAGTATTTCTGTATGTTCTTAAAAAGTGATATATCAGATGTCTTCCAACTATCACATTTAAGAGTCTATCTCATTTACTCAATCATTTAATAAGCAAGTGCTTAACAAAGGCCTGATCTGTACAAAATCATTGTGCATAAAGTTACTAAGGTAACAGCCCTGAGCTCGACAACCTTGATCATTACAGCAGCTAATATGAAAACAGTAATTACAGTGCATTGTGTCAAGTTCTGTCATGGAAATACACAGTTCTAAGGAAGTATGTAGGATAGCCACTTTTCCTGAATCATTTTTGCATTGCTTCAACTCTATTTATAATCAGGTTTCCACTTAGAAAACAATGTCATAGAATAATGCTGCTAGTATATCTGTTGCAAGTGTTATCACTTTTAGTAGTAACCATAGTTTTGTTTTTTGTTTTTATGAAACAAGTGGCCTGTTGATATTTTTCACTAATAAATAGAGCAAGTAACTAGAGCTTTTAATATGTTTCGTGTTCTGTACCATGGGTTATCTATGTATACCCACTGAGATATTCCTTGTTTCTTAATAGTATTTCTTAGTCCATAATAGTAACTTTGAAAATCCAGGTATTGTAACAAGAATTGTTTCAACATTTTCTCAAATAAAAATACATACCTAAGCTGGGCGCCGGTGGCTCACGCCTGTAATCCTAGCTACTCAGGAGGCTGAGATCTGAGGATTGTGGTTCAAAGCCAGCCCGGGGAGGAAAGTCCATGAGACTCTTATCTCCAATAAACCACTAGAAAACTGGAAGTGGCGCTATGGCTTAAACGGTAGAGCGCTCACTTTGAGCTGAAGAGTGCAGGTACAATGCCCAAGCCCAGAGTTCAAGCCCAACTGACCAAAAAACATATCTATTATAGGAATCATGGGATTGTGTAGAGTTCAAGGAATAAGCTTTGTACATTTGTATAATTAGGTTAACTTCTCTTGTCTTTTACTTATTCTAGTTAATACCCTTCATTCATAGTTTGCATTGTCAAACATGGTATACAACACTATTTAACAAACATTAAATGTTAACATTAATAGAATAAGCATCAGCCTTAAGCATGCTTTTCTGTTTCATTTAGTTCACATGTAGTTTTGGTCTTGCTCCTGCTGACAGTAGGCTGCCCTTTAGGAAACTTTTAGTGGCATTTCTTGTGAAACTAACCAACTGCCAACCTGCTGTTCTCTTCTAACCTCTCTAAACCACCCTGTTTTGTTGTCTATAGTCGTGCAGAACAGATCCCTCCTTGCCTGACAAGTGAGTCTTCTCTCCCCTCTCCTTGGGGGACACCAGCTTTGTCGAGGAAAAGGTACTGATCTTATAAGAGGAGTCCATCTTGTTTTGTGTGGTTTTTTTTCCCTATACTGTCATTTGTTTTGCTTTTTTTTTTTTTTTTGTACAGGGGTTTGAATTCAGGACTTTGTGCTTATTATTACTAGGCTGGTAGCATACAATTGAGATTTACCTCCAAGTTTGTTTTTTGCTGGTAATTTTTGAGATAAAGTGTTAGAATCTTTCTGCTTAGGCTGGTCTCAAATTTCAAACCTTATGCTTTCGGCTTCCCAGGTAGCTGGAATTACACGTGTAACCTGCCATCCACCTTCACTCAGCCAGATGAGGGGTTTTTGTTGTTGATGCTGGTGTAGTTGCTTTTTTAAATTTAATTTTTAAAATTTATTTTAAATTTATTAATTTTTCTTGATAATAAATATGAAACTATGAATGTTGTTTAGAACTTTTTATTTATCTCTATTATTTATTCTAAACTATACATTTTATATTTAGAGTAGATAAATCTTTTATTAAAAATAAGTGAGAATACCAGGCACTGGTGGCTCACACCTGTCATCCTAGCAACTCAGGAGGTTAAGATCTGAGGATCAAGGTTTGAAACCATCATGGGCAGGGAAGTTCATGAGATTTCAGTTAACCACCATTTGGAAGTGGAGCTGTGGTTCAAGTAAAGTGCTACCCTTGAGCACAAAATCTCAGAGACAGTGCCCAGGTCCTGAGTTTAAAGCCCCAGGACCAACCAGGCCAAACTAAACAAACAAAAATTGTAAGACCCTTACACTGTAGTATATTCCTCTAATCCTATCTACTTTGGAGTTAGAGATCAGCAGGATAATGGTTCAAGGCCAGCCCAGGCATAAAGTTCCTGAGTCCCAGTTTCATCCAGTAGCTGAGAAATGTGGAATGTTTCTTTCATCCTAGCTTCACAGAAGGTTGAGATGGGAGAAAAGTGGCTCCAGGCCAGTCCTAGCAAAGAAGTTCATGAAACCTCCATCTTAACTTAAAAATCTGGATATGTTGATGATATGCTTTCAACCTAGCTATAAATGGGAGGACCAAGGTCCATGCCCTCCTGGCAGAACAGGGTTCCAAAAAGATCAGAGCAAAAAGGGTTGGAGGCATGACTCAGTGGTAAAGCTTGTTCTTAGCAAGCACAGAGCCCTGAGTTAAAAAAAGAAATAGTTACAATTGAGGGCATCTTATCTCTTTAAGTAGGCTACCTCCTAGATTTTCTCTTTACTTTAAATGTTGTTTTTTTTTTCTTTTATTGTTACTGCAAAATGAACCTCAGCACTACAAGGAATTGTTCATTTTCTCAGTCAGGTTAAACCAGTTGAAATATGATGCTGTAACAGACTCGTCAAGGCTAAACTTTGAAAAAAAGCAAAGAAAAATACTGACACAGTTTTTAACTTTTGTCTGTTCTACATGTATTTGCTATCTCGTATATAAAGTTTATGAATTAAGACAAAAAGTTGATGAACAAAAGTACAGTTGAGATCCATTGAAGCTCTCTCTCAGCCTGCACTTCCTGTGATCAGAATCTGTGTACTGGCACCAAGTACTCTTCCTCCCTCTGGCTTCTCGTAAGCAATTACAAGTCTTTAACCCCTTCAGAGATGTCCCACTCCTGAAAATACTGTGCTTGACTCTTATTTATTACTCAAATTTTGAAGCTTGAACATGATTTTAGTTAACATGTTAAAAGTATTCATTACAATTGTGTACTTCAACATAATGGCCAGTTCTTTATGTTGGTCCTGTGGGTTCAAGCAACCTCAAACTTGAAAATAATGTTTTTCAAAATTATGTTTCTTCTGAACATGCACATACTACTTTCCTCATTGCTCTTTTCTAAACAATAGTGTAACAACTATTTTATATAGCATCTACAGTCAATTTAAGTATTTTAATGAGCCTAGGAATGATATAAAGTATATTTATTGAAGAAATATTCTAGCCAGCCACTGGTGTCTACCATCCTACCTATTTAGAGGGCTGAGATCTGATGATCATTGTTTGAAGCCAGTTCAGGCAGGTCCATGAGACTCCTAGAACTTGAGCTGTGGCTCAAGTGGTAGAACTCTAGCCTAGCGCTAAAAACAACAGAGGCAATACTAAGGCCCTGAGTTCAAGACCAAATAAAAGAAATATCTTAGGTCATATGCAAATACTTTGCCATTTTCTAGAAGAGACTTTAGCCTCCATGGAGTTTTGTTATACAGAGTCTAGGAGCTAATGTCCTGGAAATTCCGAGGGTGGACTCTATTTTATAATATTATTAATAATAATGTTATTAGTCATAGTATTATTACTAACTAGTGCTATTAATATTAATATTGTTACTAATACTATTTAATAGTATTACCACTAATTACTACTACTATATAGTCTTACTATAGCAATGAATAGTGATACTTATTAGGTATCTAGAAAGACATGCTTTTTAAAAATCTGTATGTTAGCTGGGTGCCAGTGGCTCACGCCTGTAATCCTAGTTACTCAGGAGATCTGAGGATCTGGGTTCAAAGCCAGCCGGGGAAGGAAAGTCCGTGAGACTCTTATCTCCGATAAACCACTAGAAAACTGGAAGTGGTGCTGTGGCTCAAGTGGTAGAGCACTCGCCTTGAGCTGAAGAGCTGAGGGACAGTGCCCAAGCCCAGAGTTCAAACCCCACAACCGACCAAAAAAAAAAAAATCTGTGTGTTATGGTTTCAGTCGTATTACAGTTAGCCATGGCATAATTCAGAATAGTCTTACATGAATTTAGGGTTGTTTAGTATATTTATACCCTACAACTACCCTCCCTCCCTGTCTTCCTTTCTTCTTCTCTCCCTCTTCCCCTCCTTCCCTCAAATTTGGAAAACTAAAACACACATGACCTTTCTTGTTATTTAGTAGGATTAATCAGAATTATCAGTGAATAATGTTCAGTTAGAGGAATTGAAAACAAAATACAAAGAAATCAACACTGTACAAAACAGATCTGCCCTGGAGAAGATGGCAAGTACTAGTTTTTGAGTAAGTAGGGAATCCATCACTCATTGCCTTTAGCTATGTGATGATAAACAAAGCAGATTCTGGATTTTAAGACTTACCTATTCCTAAAAGAGGTAAATGAGCTTTAAGTATGGGTGGAATATTGAATATAAGTACCTATAGTTTTTTAATTTAATCAACATAAAAATTGACTAAGATTTGATCCTCTATCCTATTTTCATCCTCTTTACAAAAGCTTAGGTCTTATTCTTGAGACTCTTATCTCCAATTAACCATTAAAAAAAAGCCAAAAGTGGATCTGCAGTTAAGTGATAGACCACTAGGTTTGAACAGAAAAGCTCAGGAACAGTGCCCAGGCCCAGAGTTCAAACCCAGGACTGGCAAAAGTAAAAAGAAAGTAATGTCTGTGTGATAGCCTATTACTTATTAGAATTTGTGTGGCATATACCTGTTATAGTACAACTAAATTGAGTTTATGAATGCTATATTACATTTTTACAGTGTTTACAGTGTTTTTCTAGTTTGAAAACCATGCCAACCCTTTATAGAATATTTTTATATATGATTCTAAAAGTTTGCTACTATAATAATTATATACATATAATATTTTTAATACTATTAATTATGTATAATTATGTATGAATTTGGTTTCCAACAAATAACAGTGTATTTCTTGGATGTGATCATAATTTAAATTCTAATCTAGATTAAACTGATGAATTTAGTAATACATATGGAAAGGAAAACCTGTAAGTGAAATGTACAGTTAGAATCTACGTTTACCCAAATTTGAGTTACTTTCTGAATGTAACGAAAATATCTTTTGTGAAATCCTATGAGCCCGGTTACATCCCAGAAGAATTAGGAGTCTTTTTTTTTTTTTTTTTGGTAGATTGAATCAGCATAGGAGGACAGTACCTATGCAATAAGCATTTGTAAATCTCTTAAGTTTGAAAATCAAATAGGCAGAAATATATAGCAAGTGAAGGCATGAATTAGTTGGAAGATGGGCTGATTTTTAAATTAAGCTAGGAATGCCCATGTGATTTTTTTTTTATAAGTGAAACTAAATACTTTCCTAGAATCTCTGTGAAGAAGCGAATGGTACTTTTTAAAATCATGGCAGTGCCAGTTCTCTGGTACTAACTCACAGATGTAAAGCGTCTGCTTCCCAAGCTGCTCTGGTGTCAGAGAGCTGAAACAGCGCTGCTGTCCAGGATGGAGCTCAGCATTAGATGGTTTATGCTGAGAAGGACTCATTGAAGCAAGAAGCTCTCATAGGCTGTAGCCACAAGCATCTGTTTCTCACTACCAAGATGCAAAATGTGCAGATTCATGAATTGTAGATGAATAGTACGTAGTATGAAATAGAAAAGCGAGACCATGGACAAGAAGAAATACACACATTCAGAATGTGCCTTGGCTTTCTAACTCATAAAAACTTGATGGATAAAATATGCCTTCCAACTCTGAAAAAATAGTGGTAAGTATTTTTGGTAGTATTGGATAGACACAATAGATTAATATAGTTCCCAGTAACCAAAAGAAGACTTCCTTGATCCTTAGTTCCCTTACTCCTTAGCTGACCAGCACCTAGACCTTTTGACTCACGGAGCAGGCCTCTTCAATCTTGTCAGTTCTTAATTGTGTTGCCTAGGGGCAGAAGAAAGGACAAAATACACGACAAACTGGGAACTGGTGGCATATGCCTAAAATTCTACTGGGGGGGGGGCTGACATCCATAGGATTGAGATTCAAAGCCAGTCCCATCAGAAAAGTTGTTGAAATTCCATTTCAAAAATAACCTATAAAAGCTGGACAGAAGTGTGGCTCAAGTGCGAGAGCACCAGCTGAGCAAGGAAACCAAGCAAGCTAGAGGCCCTGAGTTCAAACACCATTCATTAGCAGGGTGTGAGGTAGAGTAGAGGAGTGGAGGGTAACTTCCAAAGAAAACAATCTCATTGAGATAATTAATTTAACTTGAATTTTGATCAGATTTTCTCCAAACTCTCATTTTCCTAGAGCTTTGAATGACTCATTTCACTTATTCTTTACATCCTTTGACACGGGTGCCATTATCTAAATGGTAAAAACACATACCAGCCAAGAATTAATAGTTAAATTATCTATATATGCCTTAATGAGAGTTGATAAAAGACCATTTCTAATAGCCCAATATCAAGGTGGTTTATAACTCATCTGCAAATTCAAGATTTTTTTATATTAGTGAATAAAATAATAGAAGATGAAAAACTGACCCGAGAATGTGGTTGAGGTTAAATTCTAACTAATTATTTTCCTTTATAGGCATGCATATCATTCTGTCTCAACTCCCCCTGTTTACCCTGCGAAAAATGTTGCTGACCTGAAACTCCATGGGACAGCTTCACCTCTGCAGAATTCTGATGCCGTCATCATCCATCCTGGTGCCATGCTAGCCATGCTGGACCTCTTGGCCTCTGTGGGGTCCGTGACACAGCCAGAAGTAAGCCTGGTTGCCTTAGTTCCTTCTCAGCTGTGATAAATGAACAGAAAAGTGTATTTCCATGAGCAGGGGAACAGGCAGTAAGGAAATGATATGGAACTGTTTGATAGTACATGCTAGTGTAGCCAAGAGAAAAAAATAGGACTTTTTTAAGCCATACTTTTTTTTTTGGGGGGGGGGTCCAGTCGTGGGGCCTGAACTCTGGGCCTGTGCGCTGTACCTCAGCTCTTCAGATCAAGGCTAGCACTCTACCACTTGAGCCACAGCACCACTTTTGGCTTTTTTCTTTTTGCTTATGTGGTGCTGAGGAATCGAACCCAGGGCCTCACACATGCAAGGCAAGCTCTCTACCACTGAGCCACCGTCCCAGCCCCAAGCCATACTTTTTGATATGAATGATGTCTATGCATGTTTTAAAATATAGTTCATTTATTGCAATGCAAATTCAACCATGGTTACTTTTGGTTACTTCTGTTATCACAATGTAAATTCAACTAAGATTATTTTTGATTACTTCTGTTATTGCAGTGTGAATTCAACCAAGATTACTTTGGGTCACTTATGTTGCCGGAGTAATTCTGTTTTCCCTTGTCAGTACAGCTCAGCAGTGAAAATTGTTAATTAGCAATATAGGACAAGAGACTGGTAATGATACATTGAGGTTATTTGTTTTAATGTTTAACACTCAGAAGTTTGGATGAGTTGGAATTCAGCTGGCTATCTGTGTTAAAATGTTGTGTAGCCTCTAAAGTATCACAAGTGTAAATGTGAATTCTCTTTTCAGCTAGGTACCTGTCCTCTGAAAAACACTTCAAACCCACTATAAAAACAGATCTACTGGCTTAGTGGTAGAGAGCTTGCCTAGCATGCCCTGGGTTCAATTCCTAGGTACCACATAAACAGAAAAAGCCGGAAGTGGCACTGTGGCTCAAGTGGTTGAGTGCTATCCTTGATCAAAAGAAGCTCAGGGACAGTGCTCAAGCCCTGAGTTCAAGCCCCAGGACGGGTAAACACCACCAACAACAAAATAGACCTACTATTTGTTATTTAGTCATGGAACCCAGAAGAACTGGAAGACAGTAGAAGCTAGCTGAGTATGCTTCCAGCAAAATTAAAATAGGGATTTTTGTTTAGCTGTGTTCTAAAGTTGCTGGATCTCTGTAAACCGGTTACCTAATTTGTCTGAATGTTTGGTTTTTTCTTTTGTTTCTTTCTTTTTTTTTTTTTTTTGGTTGTGAGGCTTGAAATCTGAGCCTGAGCCCTGTCCCTGAGCTCTTCAGCTCAGAGTGAGGTGCTGTACCACTTGAGCCACAGCACCACTTCCGGTTTTCTCATGGTTTATTGGAGGTAAGAGTTGCATGGACTTTCCTGCTCCAGTTGGCTTTTTTTTTTTTTTTTTTTTTTTTGCGGTTGTAGGGCTTGAACTCTGGGTCTGGATGCTGACCCTCATCTCTTCAGCTCAAGGCAAGTGCTCTACCACTTGAGCCACAGTACCACTTCTGGTTTTCTAGTGGTTATTAGAGATAAGTCTCACGGACTTTCCTGTCCTGGCTGGCTTTGAACCTTGATCCTCACATCTCAGCCTCTGAGTAGCTAGGAATACAGGCGTGAGCCACTGGTGCCCAGCTGTCTGAATGTATTTTTGAAGCACATAAAGACTGCATAGTTAATCCACATAGTATGCTTCATGTAGAAAGAATTGTCACCTATATCACTAAAAAAGCCTTGGTGGCCTGGATTTCTTTGTTGACTTTTTAGCACGCTTTGGACCTTCAACTTGCTGTGGCAAATATCTTACAATCCCTGGTGCATACAGAGAGAAACCAACAAGTCATGTGTGAAGCTGGTCTTCATGCGAGACTATTGCAGAGATGCAGTGCGGCGCTGGCTGATGAGGACCACTCTCTGCACCCTCCCCTCCAGCGGATGTTTGAACGCTTAGCCTCTCAGGCACTGGAGCCCATGGTGCTAAGGTTAGTAAATTCCTTTTCAACTCTTGATACAGTTAGTAATGCAATTCCTGGATCTTTTTGACTAAAGGGTTCTCATTTCCATGGACATAGATTCAGTTATCTGTACACAAGACCAAAACAACCAGAGTAGACAAAAACAATCAAAACAAAGAGTACTTACTAAAATCATACTTACTAATAAATAGCATTTCTATCCACTGGATAGTTCTGCTTGAATCTTGTTTGCGCTGTTAGCTCATACCTGTAATCCTAGCAACTTGGGAGTCTGAGTCCAGGAGATTCCCAATTTAATGCCAGCCTGGACAGAAAAACTTGAGAGATCTCTCTCAGTCCATGTCTGTCATTGCAAAGTACATGGGAGCCTGAGATTGGGAGGATCGCAATTTCAGGGCAGCCACCAGAAAAGTTCATGAGACTCCATCTGCACAGAAAGAAACTGTACGTGGTGGAAGCCTACAGTAGCAGGCAGACCATAGTTCAGGAGTGCAGATGGGCAAGAAGCAGAACCTGCCCTAAAATAATCAGTGAAAAACAAGGCTGGTGGTTTGACTTAACAGCAAGTATAAAGCCCTAAGTTTAAAGGTCCGTATCTCCCTCCCCAACTCTTATTCAGTTGGTATAGGACTTACATCTACTTTATATTTAAAATATTTATATGTAAGAACTCTTAAAAATAAGCTTGCAAATATTATTTGGAAGTAATAACATATTCACAGGTATGAAGATAGAAGGTAGAGGTTCCTTGTTGCCTTCACACTGTTCCCTTCAGGTGGTTGCATCTTGCTTAACTGTAGTATAATCTCAAAACAAAGAAACTGATACTCTTATTATTTATTTCCATATGCTGCTTATTCCCTTATTTGATTTCTGTGCATATTTTGGGGGGGGTGGCTGGGGGACAGTCTTGCTCTTTAGTCTAGGTTGTCTTTTACTGGTTCAGCCTCCTGAGTGTCAGAATTATGGATGTGTACCACCTTACCTAACCCTTTGTGTTTATTTAATCCCCACACAATCCAGGATGCCACAAATGTCTCCTTAGTGCTGCCCCTTCACTGTCATACCCATTCTTTTACCTTCTAGTATCTCAAACTCTTAGAAACCACTTCTCTATTCTCCATCTGTATAAATTTGTCATTTTAGAGTGATATACATATGAAATCATAAGAGTATGTGACCTACAGTAGACATTTTTCACTTATGGCTTGAGATATATACAGTTGTTATGTGTATCAGTAGTTTGTTCATTTTTATTGCTGAATAATATTCTATGATATACAGCATGTGAACTATTCAAGAAATATGATTATAGTTCGTAATACCAAGGAACAAACCCAGGGCCATGTACATGTAAGTCAGGCTCTCTACCATTGAACCACATTCCTAGTTCAAGAAAGAAATATTTTGTGATAATCTTTTTAAAAAAGAAATTCAAGAGAAACAATGCTGTATGTTTTAGAAAGAAAAACTTACTAGTTTTTAAACTTATTTTCTGTGTTTTGCTGGAAAATAAATAGATTTAATGCATATATTATCATGCCTGGCATTTTAATATTTTTAAGACAGTGTTTCACTATGTTGCTCTAACAGGCATCAAACTCAGAATCTTTCTCAGCTGCTCTAGTACTGGGATTATAGGTATGCACCACCACTCCTAGATTCTGGAGTCCTTTTATAAAACTATGTTCACATCTTATTGTTTTGGGACTTCAGTACAAGGTGTTCTCTTTATTGGATTATTTTTTATTTACTATTTATCTTGTAAAACTTTTATTTTTCCTGTCAGTCATGGGGCTTGAACTCTGGGCTTGGGTGCTATTCCTGAGCTCTTTAGCTTAAGGCAACCACTCTACCACTTGAACCACAGCACTACTTCCATTTTTCTGGTGGTTAACTGGAGATAAGAGTCTCACAGACTTTGCTGCCCAAGCTGGCTTTGAACTCAATCCTCAGATCTCAGCCACCTGAGTAGCTAGGATTACAGGAGTGAGCCACCAGCACCTGGCTATTTGGTAAAACTTTTAAGAGCTTTCTTTTAAATGTCTGAAATCTACTTATTTATTCATTCATTCATTCATGGATTCATTCATTGGTGCTGGTGCTGCAGCTTGAATTCAGCCTCAATACTGTCCCTGAGCTTTTTTCTCAAGCCTAGTGTTCTATCACTTGAATCACAGCTCCACTTCAGGTTTTTTAGTGGTTAATTGGATATAAGAATCGCAAAGAATTTCCTGCCCTAGCTAGCTTGTAACCTCAGTCCTCAGCTCTTAACCTCCCAAGTAATTGGCAATTAGCACTTGGCTTTGTGATTTTTTTTGGGGGGGGGGAAGGGGGGGGAGGGCAGTTGTGAGGCTTGAATTCAGAGCCTGAGCACTGTCTCTAAGCTTGTTTGTGATCAAAGCTAGAGCTCTACCTCTTGAGCCATAGTATCACTTCCTTTGTGATTTTTTGTTTGTTTGTTTGTTTTGTTTTTTTGCTGGCCATGAGGCATGGGTGCTGTCCCTCAGCTCTTCAGCTCAAGGCAAGCACTTTCTACCACTTGAGCCACAGCACCACTTCGGCTTTTTCTGCTTATGTGGTGCTGAGGAATTGAACCTAGGGCCTCATACATGTAAGGCAAACATTCTACCTCTGAGCCACCTTCCCAGCCCCTATTTGTGATTTTTAAGGCAGGTTGTGGATTAAGAAAAACTTTGTCAAAGTGTTGTATTGGCAGTATGCTAAGCCTTGATAATACCAAGATAAAAGAGACTGTTCCATTCACTTCCTCCATCATCTATATCTTCATAGTCATGAGACTTTGAAAGTAGCATTGGTATTTTCCCTCATTCTTGCTAATCTACTACTTTAAAAGTAGAGTCAGAGACATAAAAAGACTTTATCATATTTAGTACTAGTGTTTTGCCTGACGAAATCACTTGGACTGTGTAATTAGACAGAATAAGCAATGAACAACTGCCATTTAGATATGCTCAGTTCTCACAGAGAATGAATTCTCTGAAAGAAAAGGCCTTGCTACTTACAAGATATAGTTTATAAATTACTTGTGTATATATTTGAATAATTGGCTAATTAAATCTGACTTTTAAAACATTTCTGTTATCTGAATTGAAACTAGAGAGGAATAATTTTTTTCATGATGCCATAATGGACAGAATACCATGGAATCTTGCTCTAGCAGGATATATTCAACAGATCTTAGATTTTGGCTTTTTTATAATATTCTGTACTCATTTTAATGCTTGGAATAAGAACAGAAGAAGTTTATTTAGTTGAAATTATAGATATAGAACATTGTTTAATATCATTTTCTGATTAGACGAAAATTATTTTTAAAACTCTTTGCCAGTCAGTGGGGAAACATTGTTGAGCAGAAAAAGGAAGCTTTTTTTTTTTTTTTTTTGGTTGGTCGTGGGGTTTGAACTCTGGGCTTGGGCACTGTCCCTGCATTCTTCAGCTGAAGGCAAGCACTCTACCACTTAAGCCACAGCGCCACTTCCGGTTTTCTGGTAGTTAATTGGAGATAAGTGTCTCACGGACTTTCCTGCCCAGGCTGGCTTCGAACCGTGATCCTCACATCTCAGCCTACTGAGTAGCTAGGATTACAGGCATGAGGCACTGGTGCCCGGCAGAAGCATTGTTTTTTTTTTTTAATGTGTAGTTAATAATAAAACATTTTTTAAAGTACAAATAGAACCTGAAAGAAGAGAGACAGATACAGCATATAAATAGCAACCATAATAAACCTAGAAAAGATTTAAAAAAAGAGAATAAAGTCAGTTATTCAAGAAATGAGAATATTTTATATTCATTTATATAATAACAGTGTTAATAGGGTTTACCCAGACTTCTTAGAGAGGGTGGCTCAAAAGCAGCTTTGTGGAGGTAAGGACAGATTAGAAATAAAGTGTGGAAGGCAATTTGGGTAGATTAAAAAGTGAGAAAAGGACATTCTCAAAACTGAGGGTCACTAATGTAATGGTTCCAGAAAGGAAGGTATACTGTAGGAAATTTGCATTCCTGGAGCAGAATTTATGGATGGGAATCTGGGAACAAGGAAGGTAGACTTAGGAAACAACATTCTAGGCGTGCTATTGTGTGCCAGGCTCCTTGGTGAGTTAGGCTTTTAATCTGCCAGGAAAGGAAAACCATTGCAAAGTGTTATAAAAGCAAAGGACATTGAATAATGGTTATTTTTACAAGATGTCAATACTAACGAATGGACTGAGTTGATACAAGATTAGAGTCACAAAAGGTAACTCAGACTGTTTCAGGAATACAAAAATGTGGTTAGACTGGACTGTTACGAGAAATGGAAATAAGCCAACAGATTTGAGATAATTTTTGGAAATAGAAACAGGATTTTCTGATTTTCTAATGTGGAAAGCTGAAAGGGGGAATCAGTATACTTCTGAGATGCAGAATATAAGAAAATACCTAGGTTTCGGCATAAGGTTGTCAATGTTACATATGCTGGATATGGGACACTTAGGCATTTTTATTAACTTCTGAAAAATTTATGTTGGAAATTATGTTGGAGATACATAGGTATATGGAGACTCATAAGAAATAATCTTGATTTGGTTTCTTTTGTATTTTAACTAGTCTATTATAATTCCCCCTTTTGTGTTGCTTGATTTCTAAGATATTTTCTTTGAAATAATTTTGCTTTGTCTTTTCTTTAGGGAGTTTTTACGTTTGGCAAGTCCTTTAAATTGTGGTGCCTGGGACAAAAAATTGCTCAAACAATACAGGGTCCACAAACCAAGCTCATTGAGTTATGAACCAGAGATGAGAAGTAAGTTCACTTTCAATATTTGCTCTATTGGTTAGTTTTATTAATAAAAAGCATGTGGCAGATGAATATATTTCAAAAAGAAAATAATGAAAGGGTTTGTTATTTAAATGGATGCACATAGACACTTAGGTGAATTGACTACCTACAGGAGTATGAGGACTGAGAAGGAATGACTGGTGATGTCAGGGGAATGAATGCTGGACTGTCCCTTGGCATAGACAGGGAACACCTTCTTCATAGGATCTGTAATTTCTTTGCCTTCTCAATTAGCCTTTGTTTCCTTGGCCAAGGAGCTGGATTATTATTCTTAGGATATCTTCCACAAAAACAGCCAGGAGTGGGAAACTAGAGAAACTGACAAAAATAACATTTTGCACCAAGGAATATAGGCCCAAGCTGAGGAAACAGTGAATCCAGGTGGCTTCTACTGTGAACTAGGGGGAGGAGGCTCATGGGAGGAATGGTGATCCTAGAAGCAGAAAGTTTAAGGATGTATTGTTCATGGGAACAGGAACATTGGAGGATGTTGCACCATGGTATTCGTGATGGATTACTGGAAAGTTTGTTTAAAATATGTCTTTGTACTCTTGAAATTGTTCCCATTTGTGTACAGGTTAGAGTACTAAAATTTAGCTACTTTTGTGATCGCATATTTAATTCCTGTCCTTAACTACTTTTGTGATTTCTTATTTAATTCCTATATTTCTAAGGGAAGAATTAAAACTGGGGAGAGGATGTTGAAAATAAGTTGTTGCTGTTTATTTCTGACATTTTCCATAAGAAAGATGACCTGTTTCTGTTACAATGCTTCTACAAGATTGTGCTTTCTTTTCAAAAAAAAATAAAAGTAGTTTTGTGGAATAAAAGTATTACTTGGTCTATAAACCATTAACTGAGGTTTATAATTCAGTTACAATGTAATAGTGGCTTAAGTGGTGATTTTTGTTTCTGCTAGCTTCTGTGGTTTCTAACATGCCCACATTGTGCACATTACTTTGATATTAGGTGAAAAAAGAAACACAGCTATTTTAGCTTTAAGAGGAACATTTAGTACATTAACACGAGGTTAATGGCCTTGATATTTGAAAATAAATTATTGTATATTGAAATTAGATGTAGTGTGCAATAATGAGTCAGTCCTATTAAGTTTAGTTTAAAATTTTGCCTGTTATTTTTTTCAAAGAAGTTTTCTTTTACCTTGCAGGTAGCATGATCACTTCCCTGGAAGGTCTGGGTTCTGATAATGTTTTTAGCTTCCATGAAGATAACCATTATCGGATAAGTAAAAGCCTGGTAAAATCTGCAGAAGGAAGTACTGTACCCTTGACTAGGGTGAAGTGTTTGGTCTCCATGACAACCCCACATGACATCAGACTTCATGGGTCATCAGTTACTCCAGCCTTTGTTGAATTTGACACATCTCTTGAAGGGTTTGGGTAAGGACATTGCAAGCCAGCCAAGTCTTCCTCTATTACTTTATGTCTCATACTCAACTTTGCAAATGCATCTTTAGTTTTAAATCTACCCCATTAAAGTACATTATGGTCTATCACTATTCTATGTTTTCAAATGATTATGCTTCTTTGAGCTTACTATTTTAAAAGTCCTTTTAATTTTATTACAATAAGTAAATTGATAAAAAATAGAGTCAGTAATGTAAGGCCCATGAGCCAGATCAGTTATTGTTGTATGCTTTGTTAAGCTTAGTCAAGCATGGAGTATATATCTGTAAACCCAGAACTAGGGAGATTGAGGCAGGAGGAGCATGAATTCTAGGCCATCCTGGCCTCATAGTGGGATCCTATCCCACAAATAACAAGAAAAAGAATTGTAAGATGTATTGTTTATGAAGGTTTATTGGAACCTGGCTCACTTATTTGTGTGTGTATTTTCTGTGACTTCCTTCTTGCTAGAATGGCAGAGTTGTATAATCATGATAGAGAGCTGCCAGCCCCCAAAGCATGAATTTTTATTTGTCACTTGACTCTTTCCAGGAAATTTCCTAGCTCTTTATATAGTGAATATATATATACAAATGATATGTGAACTAAAATGCGATTAAAAACTCTCATTAGGTTTTATCATTATTTGTCCCTCAAGTTATCTTTTACATAAATATCCAGTGACAATAGATGTTGAGATTGATTTCAATGACATTAGAGACTATAATAGCAGAAGTAACAGAGTTCTATAGATATTGTAGCTGCAAAATAGAGACAAGTACTAATAGATCTAATAATTAGGTTGCAAAGTTTATGTGGTTCTTGTTAACATCTCTTTTTAATGTAAATATGGTTTAACACAGTCTTTCATTATCTATTAGCTATGAGAATGCTAATAGATACTATTTGTATACTGTTTATCTATAGGATTCTTATGTGTTGTTCTAATTTTGTGTTTGTGTTTTATTTGTATATTTTATTATGTTTAAGTAGGTCCTCTTTAACAAATGGAGTTTGTTAAAGTTCCTCTTTAACAAATCAATTGTATTTGTACTTGAAAATATTGTCATGAGTCATTATAACACACTAGATGTTTGAGACTAGTCAGAGCTATTCTATGTTGTATATAATTTCTAACCACACTATATACTAAATGATAATAGTATCCTGTCTAATATCTATAAACTATGCTATAATAATCAAATCGGGGGAAAAGCGCACAAGGGAGATTTTTCTTAGCACTAATGTTTTTTTGCTTCTTTGTAGTACTGAAATTGAACTCAAGGTCTCATGAGTGCTAGGCATATCTTCCCTACTTTTGCTTTTTAGTTAGTTTTTCAAATAGGGTTTCACATTAACCGTACTTAGGCTGTCCTTGACTGGAAGTCCTATCTCTACCTCCTGATTTGCTGGGACCCTAGGTATGTGCTGTTACCCCTGTTTGTTTGTTTTTTTAAATAAGACCTAGCTAACTTTTCTTGGGCTGGCCTCAGATCAGTCCTCCTTTCTAGGTAGTCCTACCTTCTAGGTAGCTGAGATTCTAGAGGTATACCAGCATGAACAATCCTGTTCTGATGTTTTAATTGAGTTTTAATGAGTTTGCTTGTTTTAGTTATGCAAATTAGACCTTAATTCTTAAAGAATTTACACTTAAAATGATACTATTAATGATTTTTTTTTTTTTTTTTTTGGCCATGGGGTCTGAACTCTGGGCCTGGGCGCTGTCCCTCAGCGCTTCTGCTCAAGGCTAGCACTTTCTACCTCTTGAGCCACAGCGCCACTTCCAGCTTTTTCTGCTTATGTGGTTCTAAGGAATCGAACCCAGGGTCTCATGCATGCAAGGCAAGCACTCTACCACTGAGCCACCTTCTCAGCCCCTGATTTTTTTTTTTAAATTTTATTTTATTTTATTTGTGAACATACTGTACAGAGGGGTTACAATTGCATGGGCAGGATAATGCGTACATTTCTTACCAAGCATTGCAGCCT